GAGAGGTGGGGGAGTCTCCCCCTCTGGAGCCATCCCAAACCCGCCTGGACGCCGTCCTGTGCCACTGCTGGAGGTGCCCCTGCTCTGGCGGGGGGGGGCACTGGGGGAGCTCCAGAGGGCCCTTCCAGCCCCCACCAGTCTGTGATGCTGTGTGATTCTGGGATTTGCCACGCCGCGGGATGGGAGCGCCTGGCCGTGCAGCCGTGCCTTGTCCATGAGGAGCCCTGTGGGGAGCTCACGTGTGCGTGCCGCAGCCGGGGCGCCGCTGTGGCTGTTTGTCCTGACCGTGCTCGCTTCCCCCCCTTCCTTCCTCTCCCTTTCCTCCCCTCCGCTAACCTCTCGCTGGGTCGCCTCCTTCCCCTCGCCGCTGCCGGCAGCTTGTGTTCTTCATGCCCTTCTCCCATTTCTTGTTTCCAGCTCAATGCGCTACCCCAAGCCCTCCCACCTCCCCAGCCTCCCCGACTCCACCGACCAACCCCCTCTCGTCTGAAACATCCCGGGCCGCCGACAACAGCCATTTTATGCGTGTCTGAGCCATGAAGTAAGCACCTCTTCTCTCCTACTTCATCCCATCCTCTCTCCATCCCGGGGGGACGGGTGGGGGGCGCCTCTTCTGCGCCCGGCGTCCATCCATCGCTGCTTGCTCCAGCTAACATCTCCCGAGCCACGTCAGCCCCGTCTCCTCCCATGGACCAAGTGCAAGTGTCCTCCGTGGCGAAGCCCCCGGGCTGGGTCAGGCAGGGACCCCGGCGTGGGCAAGGGGGGGCCCATGCAGGGAGCAAAAAGGGGGTGGGGGTGTCTCAAGGCCAGGCTCTGGGCGACGCCTGCCCTGGCACGTCTGCGTTGGTGGCTGCAAACTGGGGGGGACACAGCGTCCCCTTGCTGGGTTGGAGAGTCAGGAGCACAGAGCCAAATCTGTGGTAGGTTTTCCTCCCAGCAGGGCAGGAGGGGGTCTGTGGGGTGGGCACAGGGGGCTGCCCCACCGCCGGCCACCCCACACGTAGCTCAGCCCCGCTCTCCTCTCCCTCCAGCTCAAGCCCTGGCTGCTGCCGGCGCCATCAAGTTCCACGGGGCCACGTTTTAGCGCCCCGACGCGACACTGAACCTCTCGCCATCGTTTTCGGTTCTCCCGGACCCCCTCTTCCCTCCCACCGACGGCGAGACCACCCGGCGCAGCCGAGCGGGGAGATGCATCGCCGACACCACCAGCTGCTCTGCCCCATCCCGCAGGAGACGTGCGGGTGCTGGGAGGTTCTCCGCCGGTCCCCC